GATCTCTGCTCTAACAACGAAAAAAAAAAAAAACGCCTACTCTATTATACTAGATCAAAACAAATACTATATCATAGTGTAGTACTATATTGTACTAGTACCGAGGTACTGTATTATAGTATAGTACTATATTATACTCTTATATTATACTACTAGTACCTGGCTACTATATTATACTCGTATCAAAACAAATCTCTGCTCCAGCACAATGAAAAAAACCCGCAACCTTCATCCTCAATGGAGTTAGAGCAGTGTGCAATAGGCACTGGGTACTATACTATACTAAATACTCCCATCGAAACAAATCTCTACTTCAACAGTGAAAGAACTCGCAACTTGATCTTCAGCGGGGTTAGAGCAGCGTGCAATAGACACGAGATACTATCGAAACAGATCTCTGCTCTAACAACGAAAAAAAAAAAAAAAACGCCTACTATATTATACTAGATCAAAACAAATACTATATCATAGTGTAGTACTATATTGTACTAGTACCGAGGTATCATATTATACTCTTATATTATACTACTAGTACCTGGGTACTATATTATACTCGTATCAAAACAAATCTCTGCTCCAGCACAATGAAAAGAACCCGCAACCATCATCCTCAACGGGGCTAGAGCAGCGTGCAATAGGCACGGGGTACTATATACTCCTATCAAAACAAATCTCTGCAACCGTGGAAAAACTGGCAACTTTGATCCTTAACGAGGCTAGAGCTGCGTGGAATCGGCACGGGGTAGATCACGGAAGAATGGTATTCGGACAATCGGCTTAAAACCCGAAACAGTCAATCGTGTCTATCACACGGAGCATCGGCGCTCACGCGCGCGCGGGCTATTAGCCGGCATCGGGGGCTGGCCCGGCCCGCGCAGTGCCTCGTAATCGTATTAGCTGGACAATTTCAATCTCGGGCTCGGTATCATCGAATCCGCCTAATGATTTCGAGGATCTGAAACGCGAGATCGGGCACGTAACATAGATCGGGCAACGGGAGAGAGGGAGGGAGGGAGAGAGAGAGAGAGAGAGAGAGAGGAGAGGGGGTTTCGTACACGCGCCGCTGTACCCCTATTTACACTAGATTGTCTAGTTGCATCGAACCGCAATGACGTCCGTCGGTTGCACACGCTTACTAGCCAGCCTACATGGAGCGACTAGCTCGAGCCCCCGGACGCTTTGTATCCACGCCACTCTTGTCGGCAGACAATGAGCCCGATTGCGGTACAAGCCAGACACGTGATCGACTGTACGAGTGCCGGGGCTGCCTCCATCGTGTGGCATTGTAACCGACTACCGAACATATACCGCGTATTGCGGTTATATCTGCAAACACTATAAATCCTCCGTCTGTTTCGTTTCGTTGTTGCTCTTCGTTTGTTCCACTCTCTCTCTCTCTCTCTTTCTCTCGTTTTCAAACGCCCCACACCCGCCCTCCTCTTTTTCCCTCTTTCCAAAGGCCTTTTCGCGTTTTATGTCCCGGGCCCTCGGTATCGCTCTTTTGTTACCGCGCCATGCGACCATGTCTTTCATTCGACGGGACACGCCGCGCCGTCAGACTCGATATCACGTTGTCACGAGGGAAAAAAACTTGCCCAATCGAAATTCAGCCTCGCGTCTTCGATCCGGCCTGTTCCTGCCGCGGAACAAGGAAAATTCAAATACGGCTGATAATTCGGATTTTACGACAGCCGGTGAAAATCGCGAGGGACTGGAGGCTTCGAGGTTTTGTTGTACTTCTCGTTAATGCGTAGACGTGCGATACAAGTCGTAGTCTGTGAATAGTTTAATTTTTGCAAAGAAACGAAGTCTAGTCTGCTAAATGGAGTTTGTTTTGGATGTTTGATATATTTTTGTTACATGGCGTTAAGTTTGCCAGTAGTTTCCCTGAGTGGAAATGAGAAATATGCTCAAAAATTCCTGGTTAAGGAACTGTAACGAAAATTCGAGATAAGAGTTGACGATATTTACGTACATAGTTAGTTCCGTTTCAAAGCGTTGTCCATTTTTATGAATACGAGCTTGGCATCTGTCAAAGATTGAATTTATCACATTTTCGAATTTCCAGCTGATTTGCTTTCATTTCATTAAACGCGTTATAAATTCTCTGCACTAATTCTTCACGGGTATTAACTTTTGCGTTGGTCAATCTTTTGTCTTTATATTCCCTGCGAGTTAAAACCAATGGCGTGAGGTCTGGTGACCTTGGAGGTCGAAGAATTGGTCCTGCTCAATCTATCTATCTTCGTGAATAACGCTGATTTAGCCATTGCCGCACTTGTACTGCTTAGTGTGCAGAACAATCACCCAACTGTATTCACAGATTTCATCGAATGGACAATGACATATTCTCTAAAATTTCTGGCTCCGATTCATTTTGTAGGAAATTCAACTATCAAACACAGCTTGTAGTTGTGTAGACAGATTAGATAAATATTGTCGATCTGTTTTCACGTTGTACCCAAGTGAAAACTCACTGTACTGTTATTTCGTTATAGTTTGTTAACGAAAAATTTTCCAGCGTATATTTGTGATGACATTTTTTTCCCATTTCCATTATTATGGTATCTACTGGCAAAGTTATACTGGAAAAAATAGAGACACCCTGTATATGTAAGTCCAGTTTCATTAAACCTTTCGAGCATGAGAAATTTAAGCTAAAACGACTTAAAAAGTACTTTTACTCCAACATGGGGGATAATCCATCATAAGAAGATAAGTCAAAAGTGTAGAATAAAATTTTTTCATCGAGAGTTTCGTTTTTTCAACGAAACGTTCAAAGTCAAAGCACATAGAATAATTCTTCCTGTTCTAATTATTCATTTCTGATACGTGTAGAATTAGTCAAATTCAAATATACTTGATAAAGTTTCCTTGAATGAAAAACTTTTTATTCTCACTTTTTCGAGACGAATCATCCCTTGCCCTGCTTCTCACATGTTGCAGAACACTATCTATATAAAAAGTTCAAAATTTATTAAATTGCAGAAATACGTGGCAAATAATTCCACGCCGAAATAAATTTATATACCAATTTATAGAATGCGTTAAAATTGATTCTCGAATCAAATTTGTAACGAAGAAAATCGCAATCGTACGAAAGCCCCGACTACATCACGAAAGGTGAAAGCGACTAAAGATTCTCCTATTTAAAGATAGGGAAAGTCGATCGGGTTTATTTAATTAGCTGAGATTTAATTGAGATTATTCGATAAATCTGTCTCTCTTCGTTTTTTCCGCTGTTTTGTTCTGTTAGCAGCGCGGGTCGTTCGTAATGGAGTGTACGATGGCGCGTCGCGACACCATGAGGCCGCCATGTGAAGGAGACAGACAGCGCGAGAATAAACGACGCTCGTGCCACCCAACAATGTCAAATGTGATGCACTGATCCTGACGTTAATTAATGATTCTCGACACGCACAACGCATATCGCTCTACGATAGAATGTTTCCGACCGTGTCTAGCGTAAAGTTGTGACGTTGCGTCTGGCGGATGCTCTTTGCTGCAAGTTCTTTGAAACCGATGAAACTGTTTGTGTGACACGAGCATAATTGTTAATCCTCGAATGTTGGAACGAGGAACAACTGACCTGAATAGTAATATAGGCTCTATGCATCCAAAATATACGTTGGAGAGTTAATTACATAGAATATTTAACAAATGTGTACCACGCGAGTATATTATTTCATAGTTTTTTTTAATTTATCGTGAACTACCGCTTTCGTTAGACGTATTGGAGTGTTTTGATTCAGACAATGGTTGTCTATGCAGTCATAGTTACCACGGTAGAGTGTTCTACATTAAAGCATTAAAATATGTACATGCATACTTGAAAGTTCTTTTCCACCAGATGTGGAACGTGCTGGCGAAATATTCGATGAAATGTACGATTCGTCGTTTCAAAACGAAAGCCACAATCTTTTCACAATGGTGTCAACGAATTGTCAAAAAGTCCCGATCGGCTAATACTTCTGCACGTTTACAGACGAAAATGTGTTTGCAGAATTTACGACGTTTGCAATTGTTGGAGGAATGTCCTCTCTCTCCTTCATCTGGTTGTTATTCTAAATTCTGAATTTTAAAAGTTGGGTTTCAGCCGATGTTTCGCAATGGCGCGTGTCGCGGCCGGAAGTCTTCAAACGTTCTTTCGTTACGGGCGCTGTGTTCTCTGATTTGTATACTCGTGTAGGATGGCTGCGTCCGTATGTGCGTCCTAGACGCGTCGCATCTGCAAGCCACGTCGCATTGCGACATTTTTGCCCAGTATTTTTTTTCCTTTCTTTCTTTTTTTTCTTGTTAAAATGTTGTTCAAGAAGTGATACATTGATGCCGCGTTTACGATGCAACGTGGATTTAGACAAAAGTTACGCGCTTTACGGTGTTAAAGTACAACACACACATTCGATTCTAATTGGTGCTAATTAATTCAGGTTATCAGGAAAATGACAGAAGAGACAGATGCAGAGTTACAATAAGATCAAGCGACGTGAGATTAACTTATGATCGTAGCGAAGTTTTTCACGGGAGAAAAGTGAAATTAGTTCGTAGCTAACTGATGGAACACATAAATTTCCACTGCGAACAGATAGTCGTTAGAATGATGATTAATGGCAGACTGATTAAACGAGCTTTTTGCCACGGATGTTCTGTAGCCGTGTCAAAATTTGACGTCCTAATTAATAGAACTTACCGTCCCAATTACCTAAATTCGCAGCTAGTAGGAAAGTTTCTTGTAAATGATCTCTAGTAAATTAGATGGATACTCGAAGACAGAAAACGCGAAAGCCGTGTTAAAATGAATAACGCAGGGAAGACTCGAAAATGAAAGGAAGAAGTAATTTAACACAACTTTTAACTTTTCTAGAAGACTGGGCAGAATCATTATCGCTTAAATATTGTAAAACAAATTCCTATTCCTATTCTTCTCTTTCGTTTAATCACGTTGCGCCGGCAACTGATTTGCGGACCGTAACGAGTGACCGAACCGTACACAACAATTCGCCGCTTTCTTTCTGAACTCGGTCGGTACGATAGAAATATCGCTGGATAGAAATGATCGAGAAGTAATAAATTATTTGTTTTGCTTGTTGCTATTTTTCGTTTTACTTAAATGTAAAACGAAATACGTAAAATTGAGGAAATATTGCAATTTTGGGAGAAAAAAATTCTCGACGTGCGTGGCACGTCGTTCCAGCGCAAGAGGTCGACCTTGGATTATCATCGAAAACGTGCGGTTTTAAAACCAGGCAGCTTGATCTTACGTAAAGCGCGATAGCGTAGCTATTCGAGAAACAGACTATGTTCATGGTGTTTGAACGTCGTTCGATGGTAACACGTGCTCGTAACGACGGAAACTTTGCAAGTGTTACCGGAATCCCTAGTTCGTCAATGTAGCCTAGCTATCTTGTTACAGCATTAGTATTCGCGCAGTTTCTGTCTCTCACAATCAGCCTAATTGTCACGTGACGGCGCAAGCATGGTACAAGCGCCGTTGGTTACGAAGCAAACGCAGCTATTTGTAAATTGTTCGTTGCTGAATCCCGGGGGGCCGTAACAGCCGACTCGCGTTTCCATGCGTATTTTCAGCATGAAAGAGCGGGAGCGAGAGCGAGAGCGAGAGCGAGAGAGAGAGAGAGAGAGAGAGAGAGAGAGGTGAAAGATCGATTTTTCGCTGAACGAGAACTGTTTCCATTAATTACGATTTCTTTATACAAGCGTATCACTCGCTCGGTGATTTCATTTCTAAAGGAATTTGGCGCGCAATGACATCGCGATATTCCCATCAACTTTTGTAACTGGCAAATCGCCGGTGCGTGTTCAATTTCAATTTCCGCCGAATCATGGCTACCGTTTCGTACGCTCAGCGAATATTTCTGTCGTGTTGTTTGCGTCCCGTGAAAATTGAAAAAAAGAAAAGAGAAGGAAAATGGGATCGGCTGGTAAGTGGGCCGCGGTTGTTTATGCAAATTGACATTTTTTTCTTTTTTTTTTTGCGAATGAAATCGAAGAAACGGAGTTCACAGCAGAGTAGACTAGAAACCGAGTATCGGTGAATCTTCTCAGTATTAATGTAGTAATGTTTCGTCTAGCAGCTCTGTTTTATTTATTTATTTTTTTCTTTATTTCGACCTATCATTCCTTTATTTTTTCCTATATTTGTATTGTTTGATTTAGATGTTTGAATGGTTCGTAGAAACCATAGTTTCTGAATATGTCATGTATGATGTACAAAAGATTCGACGAAGACTATATTTTGGAGCATCGTATGCACTTTCGTATCTTTTTTTTATTTATTTAGAGAGAAAGAGAGAGAGAGAGAGAGAGGCAGTTTGCTATTTAATTTTTACGTGTACGCGACCGATAAACAATTTCTAAAGTGCCACCGACACGCAGCCTGTCTCGCTAACGATATTTGATTAATCAGTACGTTGTAATTAATGAAATTTAATTAAATTTAGCCTTCCAATTACGCAAATTAATTTTCTAATTGGGCATTACGTGCCCGTAGGTAACTGTGCCTGCATGAAAATCTGTAATTTCACGGTGCGCTTTCTACGAAGCACGAATTTATTACTACGTTCATTGCATGCAGGATCGGAAAAAGTTGTTGCAAATGCTCGTTTCGCTTTGTTGGCAGAAATGATCGGCATGTAACGTCATGACAATTAAATTCGCCGAATGATGAACCCTCGTAACGCACGTATTCGTACAAATTTTCACAACTGATTTCTTGTGAATTAAATTTGGAGGAGAATCGGAAGGAAAGTTGAAGGTCAGACTTCAAACATCCACTAGTACATAGTAGTACTTTCTACCTTCAGATTCTTTGATCTCCAAATTACGAGTCTGACCTACGCCGACAGAAAGTCTTAGCAAACGTATAATTTTTTAGATAATTTAAAATCGTAGGTCAACGCATTTCATCGACAGTTACAAATAATCGAAGGTACAGCGTGCGTTGTGTTAAAAGCTACGTATAACCTCTGGCCACCTTCCGTTCACGTAACGCTGACACATGGCCGCTCTAGGAATAATGGCACCGATACCAATTCACTCGCCGATGCTTTTATCGCATTAACCGACACTTTGCAATATAAGTAGCCTTAACTCGGTTCGACGTGCGCATCCGTTAAGTACTTTCACGATGGTCCGTTGAACGTCTTAAAAGGAGTCAGCCTGACTCTATTAGGAAGTCGCCATATTGAATGCAGGGACTCCCTACTAGAGTCAATTTGACCCCAGTTAAGTTCAATCTTCTCTCTTCGCTTCTCCTGTCGTCATCGTCGTCGTCGTCGTCGTCGTCGTTTCCCTTGCTTCCTTCCTCCTCGACCTCGTCCCGGTTGCAGCTCGTTGTTCTTACGTTGTCAGCCGTCTTGTTCTTCGCCCTCTACTTTCGCGGGGAGGTTAGTTTCCCCCCTTGCCCTCTCTGTCTCTCTTTTTCTCTCTCCTCTCTGTTTTTTCTTCTCTTTCTCGTTCCTCTCGTTCTTCTTCGTCAGCGTCACCTTTGACGCCCACTGGGGCATTCGTGTTAAACACGATATCGATCAGACGCCGGATTTTAATTATCGCGTCGAAACCTAATTAGCTTGACACGTAGTTCGTGCCTCGCTTGATCGAGCCCCACTGTTCACAGAACGATATTTAACCGTAACTTAGCTGGCGATCTAACGGTGCCCCGTGTGAACGATGCATGTGTGTCATCAGTTACGCAAAGAAGACGCAGTTACACGGACAAATCTCGTTTCGAACGTCTTACGTGATCGAAGCCGATTAGCTTCTATTGGGTTCGATGAATTCGTGCTAATTTTATTTGTACTTGTACTTGGTGTGTAGACATATATTCGTGGCGTGAAGTAGTTTTATAGCCAACTTATTAATAACTATAGCGTCATACGATTTCCGGAAGTTATGGTCCGGACTGTAATGCGTGATGTTATATTTTCTAAATTTTTAATAACACTCGCATTTAGTGAAAGTCACATCCAAAAGTAGCCGTTAACTCTTAACTGGCATCGTTGAAAGTTGATTTGATTTTATTTGGTTTATTTCTATTTGAAATTTAGGTTCTACAATTCGTCGTACAATTTTGGAATATTTAGTTTGACTTAATTATATATCTGTCCATATAAAAAAATATAAAATACAAAATAAAGTTAACACGCTGACTGTCAAAATATTTAATTTTAGATATTGTATATTACAAAATATTTCATATTTAAAATTTCTATTTCATTAAAAATATTTTTTTAAAAAAAATTTATTAAAATCTATCAATTTCAAGATATTATATATTACAAGAAAGTTTTATTCTCGTTTCGTGATATTATCTATTTATGCTATTTAAAATTCAGTGTTAATGATATTCATGTTAATGATTTCAATTGTTCTAAAACATTTATGGCCACCAGTAGCAGTCAACGTGTTAAATGCCTCAACTCGTTCGCTATTATGCCTCTCGGATATAATTAATTTATCGACTAGTATACCTGACAGCGAACGTGTTAAATTTTTGTCATACGATACAAATTACAGTCATCTATCGCGACACCATTTGAGGATAATCGAAGAAAGATGATTATTTTTTATTTCTCAAATAACAATAACGTAGACTCGCGCGGCTATCGCGAAATTGTCAAACTGCTTCTCTAATTTTTTAATCAATCGAAGTCGAAGTGCTCAGATGAAACTGGTAGTGAAGGAAAGCAGCAGGAGAGAGAGAAACAAAGACAGAGAGAGAGAGAGCGCCTCAGTCTGGCGGCTGATTTAAAACCGAGTTACCCCTGACTTCCCGTCAGTTTGATACGCAGCCACCAACCTCCCCCTCCGGAGGTCTCGTTTCTCAGTATTTCCATGCGATTTTATTGACACCAGTCAGTCTGGCGAGGAGACACCGGAGGAGTTTCCGTGGGTCATGAATTTGTGAAATTGGAAAGCTGTCTGTTTCTCTTCTCTCCATTTTACACTTTCCTCGTCTGTTCTTTCCGTCCTCTGTCCGTTTCAGCCGCGTGTACTCATATCCCCCCCCCCCCCCCCCCCCCCCCCCCCCCCCCCCGGTTCTTCCTCTGTCGATCTCCACAGAGGAAGACAACCGGCTTTTGGATATCGAGAACATTGACGGGCCACGTGACGATATTTCCAGCGTATTATTATTATTTCGTTTTTCGCAGTCCGTTTGAATTTCATACCGACGCCGGTGGAATAATGACCATCGTCTTGTGATTTCGATTTCGTCGGATATTAACGCGGATAATCGATGGGACAAAGTAATACATAACGCGTGTGCAACGTTCTAAGCGTGCACGGATTGTGATTTTAAATGAGAGCTGGATTCTTTCCAGAATGCAATGCACACAGCGATTTCAATGACTTTGACACTTTTCGACGCTATCGAGATAAATTCGATACGATGTATAACGCGAATGCAAGAATCTGTCATCTGAAATCTTCGTGAAAGAGTTCTTAGTGTCGAGAATTTTGTATCACTGTCTGAAGATAGAAAGCATCGAATGACAAGCCACAACGTTTCAATTTCTTGTCGAAGTTTTCAACAGTTACCATTTTTTTTTTTCTTTTTCGGCTAGCACTGCGGCTGACTCTGCGCATGAAATGATACGCAATCCTGTCGTATAAACATGCACGGCAGTTCTGCGCGGCAGAACTTTTCAAATTTCGAATAACAATATTTGGACGAGCCGTTCAACACGGAGGGGAAACATTTTCGATGGAAAAATTGCGAGGTGATCATGGGACAAACGGCAACATCGACGACGAAACGGTAAACTTACGACCGGAAAGATGATCTTCGCTGTGAAAAGTGAGAGAAAAGAGGGGACGGGGGGGGGGGATAAAGAAATAAATCGGAAGGGAAAGAGCAGCGAAGTCTTTTGCATAAATCCAACGTAAATAGCCAGAGGACGAAGAATGGTAGCAGAGGAACGCGTTAACTAAGATCCTCATTGGTATTCATTAAGTTCATTAGCATCTTCCTCCGGCGGCTATCTCTGTATTTGAT